ATGAGCTGTTCAAATCCTCTCTCTTTCCTACTCAAATGACCTCCCTTTCTAACAGCAACTCTAAGATCGTCTGATCTTAGAGTTGCAAGATGGTAGTAGTTTTTTTCCTTAAATCTGCATAACGCCCACACTCCAGGAGACGAAATGAGGGTTCACCTACATCTTATTTATGACGAGCACATTTTGTGTAGGTCTTCCACATATGACCAACTACACAGATAAAGGCTGAGGGAAGGCTAAATCATTTATTCCTAATAAGCAAGTATTCAGATTGAAAACAACACTGCATTTAAAAAACACTGCTTGTTGCATGTTGAAACAATGACAAGACGAAGTTCTGTATGTCAATCTGAAAGCCCATGAGATGCCTACATTTACACTTTATCTCTAGGAAAGTTAATCATTTTACTGTCTGTAATGACAAGCACGAGTTAAAAAGTAGAAAATCTAGCATGATGTTGGATGATGCCGTAGGGCCAGGCTCAGTGTTTTGGACATGGATTTTTCATGCTGGAGCCCCCTGCAGCCTAACTGTCAGAGCCCAAACTCCTTGAGATTCATGAGCTGAGCTGTACCCAGATTTGATACCAATGTAAACACATGCTTTGAAAAGTTGGGTTTGTAAAAACCTCTGCCCTGCTATTTGCTGCTCTTTGTAAAATGATGTAGTAATTTGAATGTCTAAAGCAGTTTGGAGTTCAGACTCACACCACTGCATGTTAACAATGTGCTTTGATTCCATAAAGCACCTCACTTGATATACTACAATATCCAGGAGCCTAAGCCACATCCCGTAGCTGTGTTACCTACTAGGTAACACGTCCAGCATGTGTTGCCTAACAGCCACACAAGTTTAGACACTGAAGCCTGGATTACAGTCAGCCATTCAACACTACATCATCACTCCTCACTCTGCTTGTCTTCCATTTAAGCGGGAACAAATTCAAGTAAACCAGATTAATACACACATATTCAGTCAAGTCAACACAGCAGTCAACTGTTCAAGTCTGCATCTCATCTCAACACTATTGCTTCCATGTACTGTACTTTTAAAAAGAATAAGATGACACGAAAAACAAAACAATGCATTCTCCTTTGTAAAATATTCCCTTAAATACATAGTGTACATGATTGGTGTTATCTATGGGTTATTTCTATAGAACTGAAGTGACATTCATTACAAGACGATTAGTCAAAACATTTCAAGATGCACCTGCGCCATTTTGCATTCTGTGACTTAAATAAATAAAACACTTTTTTCCAGTCATATATTTTGTCATTGAAGTATTCTTAAAAACAGTGTCAAAATATCATCTCGTCTCCTGAGCTAAGTGTATCGTCACGCCCCTAATCTTGACTATGGAAGTCTTGAATACACCACTTTTTCAGTTACATGAGAATTGCCTGTGTGATATTTAAGACACCATGCAAACTGTTTGTCACTAACGAGAGTGTTTACCCCGCCTTAAGGCAGAACTAAAGACAAAAATTATAATTTATTGCACTGTACACATACTGTAATTACATATCACACATTATGTTTGAATTCAACATTGATACAATAAACAAACAAAAAAAAAATCATATTTTTGATACAAAGCAGCTTTTTTGGTTCAAATTAGCTTGGTTCAGTATTTTTTAATTTTAAAGTCTGGTTCAAAAATAATTCTGTCACCCTTCCCTAACGGGGCTGAAACACTGAAAATTTTGAGATCTGTTTCGTGCAGACCCACTCAACTGTGGCAGTAGCTGTTGTGCAAAGTATAAAATGCAGAGCACTGGTTAACCAGCGTTCCAGCTATGTGGCATGCCACATACCGTCGCTGCTGATCATAGATACATTTAGGTGCCACATTAGGGCTTCTGAGATATGTCACACCTGCTGCCATACTGCTTCAGCCAGTCTGGCTACTCTGGCCAGTACAAATAGTAGAAGATGCCAGTTTTTTTTTTTTTTTTTGATATTCTAATGGAAGAAATGCTAAGGATAAGAATGGTCATTTTCTATAACAGTATTGTCAAGACTTCCTAGACGAAAACCAACAATGATTTGCCTCTATCACAGTTAGCTTATTCTTCTGTGCCATAGACCTCCACTGTTGTTAGAAAATTACTAAAAACACATCAGTGAAACACACAGCTGCACTGGGTGATGTTTCTTGATTATGAAACACAAGACACAAATATTTTTTAAAAATGTTGTCCCAAAGGCTTTGAAAAGCCATAACTACTGGGCCAGAGAATAGAGAGGTGCAAGCTGAGGGTCTACCGGCACAAAGTGACCACACCACTGACTATCTATCCCTTAGTGAGGAGGAGTGAGAAAATCTGGCTGCCTGTCACAGAAATCTGTTAGGGGACAACCGCTACCCATTAAAGACTTGGCTGATGACACCATACATCGTGTCTACAACTGTTAGTGAACTGTCTTTCCATCAGAAGCACTCCTGAGCATGAGTAGTAATTGAAAGAACATTTGTTTTGCTTAAAATGCGTTTCAGATGTTTGGAGTGGTCAGGGGGCACATTACAGTACAAATAAATAAATAAAAACAAGCATTGTGTGTCAGTGGACAGCTTTAATGAGTTGGCACTTTACAAATATTTACAAGTGACACATCACAAACCTATGTGTGACATTTACAAAAAAGATGCTTGAATATGCAACAGTATGTTGACAGCAAATAAGAGCACAGTTTTATACACTCATGCTATAAAAGAAACTGCATAAAAAAAACTTGGTGAGGAATTAAAAACAAAAAGAAACAAAAGTGGTGAAGAATGAATTCCTCTTCTGCCTCCTCGGGTTTGCAGGCGGGGAGCACCACAATGGGGGTGGCCACAGGTGGCTCCAGCAGGGGCAGGGAGCAGGGAGCTGGATGTAGATCTGGTGGTCAGATGGAGAGGAGATTGTGCAGGAGCAAGTTCAAAACTGCATCAGCAAGCCTTTCCAAGGTGCCGGCTATGCACTGGATTGGCTGCAGGAGCCTCTCAATGCAGCTCAGACAGGGATTCATGCTCCACCTGAGTCTACCTAATTCCCACTCCAGCACATCAAAACCTGACCATTGGAGCAAAATGAAAGGGTGATCTTCAGGAAGGGAGCGGGTCCTGCCACGCCATGTGGGTAGGCTCGCCTCTCCTTTCACTCCTGAAGATGGACCCACTACATCCTTGCTCTCCACAGCTCCCGGCCCTTGCCCTCTGGGTCTGGGCAGGATCTTTAGGCACTGTAACTGATTTTGGGGGCGGCTGTGGCTCAGGAGGTAGAGCGGGTCATTTCCTAACCGGAGGATTAGCGGTTCGATTCCCAGCTTGTCCAGTAAACATGTCGAAGTGCCCTTGAGCAAGACACTGAACCCCCAGTTGCTCCCGGTGATGTCACCGGTGTGTGAATGCGTGAGTGCTTGGGAGTGCGAATGGGTGAATGGCCGAATAATGTTAAAGTGCTTTGAGTGTGCTGTAAAAGCATAGAAAGGCGCTATACAAGTATAAGACCATTTTAACTTGGTTAGCTATTAATAGTTACACAGCTTTGATGCATGTGTTAAAGTGAAATAAACTGTTGTCTTGAAATCTGATTAGGTGTGCTCACAAATGGATTCTTTACCTACTGTAATTACCTTCAACTCCAACCTCAACTCCACCAAACCCCTCAATGCAGTGCTGATTTTAACAGCACAGGCCACAGAGGGGTAGAAATAAACACAGGGCCTGAAAATAGCAGGGTGGCACGGCATGTGGGTTAGTACAGCAGGGAGACGTCACTTCTAGTCTTTTTACTTGATTTATGCAAATTTGTGCTCAATCTTAGTTAAAACAGCTTTAACAGTGAGTAGAGACAAATCATTGTTGGTTTTAGTCTTTGTATGGGAATTGTTAACTGTTATGCTTAAAATGTCAGACCTTATCCTTTAAGCAAAATATGTATTTTTAATTCATTCTGTTTCCAAATTATATACAAAATTCTATTAAGGCAGACATTTTTCAGTGCAATAACAAAAAATGTAACTTTTTTCAAAAATTACTAAAGTGTAAGTTCATCTTTAATATTATAGAAATATTAATGTTGCAGTATACAAAAAATGAAGTCTTTTGTATTAAAAATCCACATTTTAAATGTAACCAAGTAGCCTGTGTTAAAAATACATTTCTGATATTTGTAAAACCAAACCGCTGGAAAATTGGCTATAAATTCAGTGAGTTATTGTTACTTTAGTTGTGCATGGACCTCCAGCCTTTGTACGTATCCATGCATTAGGAGGTGCGACACTGACATCCCAACATGGCGACCACCTTGACGCATACCGGTATTGAAGAGCAGTGGCTTATGCAGCATCCAGTGTTAATATCTATGGCTGCTGGTGGTGTTAGCATTACCAAGCCTGATCAGTGCTAAAAGTCAACATGGTACATGAGCAGGTATTTCTCAGCAGAGGCAGTAAACACAAGTGAACTTGCCGATGACCATGCCAACTTCAAAGCTCAGTGAAATACTTGGAGCTGACAAACAGCAATGTTAACCACAATAAACAGCAGGGCTACAACTCTCCCACAAGTCTCTGGCATCCAAACCAACCAAAACAAAACCAAATAAACAAAAAGCTGGTAATACCTGCAAGATAAACTAGGCACCACAATCATATCATAACAAAAATGGGTTGTGTCAAATCCTCCTATCAGGGTGAAACACGTTTAGGACGATGCTTTTTCTTTTCCTGATGTGAATTAACTACCATTAATAAAGAATTCAAATATTCCTATCTATATGCTAACCCTTTCTTCCAAATATACAAACATATGTGACAAGGCACTGTGTTTGGGGTGGTTGATTTCAAAGGGCCAGTACTTTAATGTGAAATCAGCAGCATTCATTACATTAAAAGTAAAGTCACTTTTGGCTTTTCCCGTTTTTTTAGGGGTCGCGCCACAGCGAATCGTCACACTGATGACTCGCATGTTGACATTTGGCACGTGTTTTACGCCGGATGCCCTTCCTGACGCAACCCTGATTCAAACCCGGGGCGCTGCGGCGAGAGTGCTGCGCCTTAACCACTAGCCTACCAGGGACGACCTCAGCTGAAAAATGTTCCTCAGAACATTCATTACTGATCTTAAAAAAACTGCTGGTCTTGAGGCCCCAACCATTGAAATGTATGGATATTAAACATACAATGAAAGCTAGTCTTACACTATGCTTCTATAAATCTGAATGAATTACTCAGATTATACCATGGTCTCTGACAGTACTGCTTAACCATATTTCAGCGCATACAACATTCTAACTGAACTCGCTTGGTCTGGAACAATAGGCGACAGCACTCCAGCTGAGAACCTCAAATGCTGATTGGCCAAATCCAAACAGGATACCACATATAACAGAACAACATCATTCAACCCATGCACATGATCTATATCTAAAAGTGACTGATCAACCACCTAATTAATATACAGAATAAAACTAAGCATATTAACTAAGACACTGATTGCAATTAGCATGAAATTTCAAAAGTTAGGTATACCTAACTGTACACCGTGTGTATTTCAATTAAAACAGATGTTTAGGAAAAAAATAGTACATCCTATCACAGTAATGCTTTATTTTTCAAGTCTGTAACTTCCTAATTATTTCCTAGAAAATTTCTTGGAAAGAACCTAATTAAACATATTTTAAAAATTACAAACCCATAAAATGAAGCATATTCACCATTATGTATAGAAACTTAAGCTTGTTATAATATGCAGGATATATCAACAATAAAATATATTTATGAGGCCACTGTTACACAGAACAGGCATCATACTATACTATCATGTAGAGAAATTATTACAAATGTCTCTTCCCTGACAAAATCCATTTTTAGTAACACATCAAATATAAACACAGTTCAACTATTATTTAGCAAACTCGTTATTTTATCTATATCTATCTATATGTATCATATATAACTCTATATATAGATATATTCTGAATCATATCCATGTGTTTTATAGCATATATATATTTTGTAGCAAACGATTTAAATGAACCCTTCTTCCAAGGACTTTTCTGCGCAGGATTCCTTGGATAGTCTGTGTTACTAAAATCATAGGACTTAGCAGTAGTTCACATTTTTAACACTGCAATGAAGCCACTGTGTGTGATAAAGGCTCTGCCATAAAATTTATGGAAACTGTGTTGTGACCGGCAACATCAATAAATAGCAATTCTCAAATTACTAACAAAATACAGTATATAGTACAGTATAAAATGGTACAACAAAACTCAAGTTAACAGCTCCACATTTCCCAGAATGGCCACAAGCTCATACAGTGTAGTGGCTAAACGTACAATGATAACGTCAACACTAGTCTGTCAACAAAGGTAGATGCAAACATCAGGACTAGGTGAGTAGGAAAAGGTCATTTTCCTGGATAATATATGCTATATAAAATACAGTATATTGCTTATGCTATGTTAATGTAGTTCAAAGAAAAAAAGAATATCAGCAAGTACTGTTTTGCATATGGATCACATTTTTGCACACTGGTACATAGTACAGACACCAGTGGAACTATATGTCACTGTACAGCATTGCTGTTTAAGTCAGTACCTTTGAATGTTTGTTTTTCTAGTGCAATAGATGGGCACCATGGTATTCCAGGTAATGTTGACAGCACATGCAGACAGCACAAGACCAACCTAACACCAGGTTTTAGTGTTAACACTTTTCCTAAACAGATTTTAAAATCCTATTTCAAGCCTGTCTTATAGACATTCATGTCAGATTTTATCATAGCAGCTACTTATGCCCACTGCAGAACAGCTTGTAGTTGCTCATACACAACTACAAACCTACTGTCACAACACTCTTGATCTCATTTCATACTACAACTCTGAACTAGAGTCATGCATGTAAATATCTGTTTAGGAAAAATGAAACGGAGCTCTTCATACCACTGATACTTGACTTCTTGTCTCTATTGACCAAATTACAGCTCCTGATTCAGACCAAAGCAGAAGATGAGACATTTGAATCTCAGTAGCCCACATTTAGTTAACCTGAGCTACAGATACTCTCAACGCGGTGAACCAGGTCAGACCAATCCAGACATTTACCAGTCATTTTGTGACATTTAACTCCAACTGTCGTCCAGTCAGTTTTAGTTTTATTCATTTTCCACCATGGGCCTATCTTTGGCCTAACTTTGATAAAGCACTGAAATTATAACAGTTCAGGTAATTATATTTTTAAATTAAAAATGTCTACCCAATGTTAGGCTTAGTTTCATCTGCTAATTAAAAAACTATACACACACACACACACACACATACATACACACACTCACATACATATACCCTGGTATATATAGCTATAAAACCACAAACCCTATCCGACCATAGACAGGACATAATAGCCAGTGTTGAATTTAGTAGTAATGTGGATTGTGGAAGCACAAGTGAAAACAATGAAAAACCTAAAAATCTAAATGCATGATTCAGTGCTAAGTGTCAGTGACGGCAGATACAAGCAGTGATCATGTCAAATAGAATCTTACTTTCACTGATTAAAAGAGGAATTTAGTTCCAACAACTCCAACACCTATTGTACTTTGACAAAACAGATTACAAGTAGGAAATTAACTATAGTATAATAGTTACAAAATAAAAATGAACAACTTAAACTGTTTAAAAATTACGAGGTTCTGGTTAAGCCTCCAAAATGCAACTTTAGCCTTTTATTTTGGAATAAAACCCCTCTGATTGTCTAATGTGCACCTCATTTGGTAGAGAAAACAGCAGGTGCTGAGATCCACAGAAACGGATAAAAACAGATATGAACAGATCGATTGACAGAGTGTGATAGAAATAGAGCTACTCTCCCAGGACCCGGGAGAGGGAGAGTCAGCAGAGCGCTTCACATTCCTGCCCGGGCTCCTCTCACCCACCACCACATCACTCTGTAAAACGGTAAGGCAGCTGTTGGCTTCCATCAGCTCAAAGTGCATAACTAAACATATCCAGTCCACCGCCCACCCACCCACAAACACACAAATAGCAGAAATAGACACACATGTAAAATACACTGAGATTTATCCACAGGCTTGGTTTTCATCCAAATCAATTTTGTGGATTTTTATGTAACAGAAGGTTAAGCACAAGCAACAAAATTCAACAAAAACTGCTCCGCCATCAGTAAAACATCTTCATGCCCAATTGAAGCAGAATAATGCTTCTTAATCAACACAATATGCAAAATTTGGCAGCACAAGGGCATTGACTGACTAAATGATAAAGTCTTGTGTGACTGACCCGGAACAGCCTGATTAAAGTGCACTCCCTGGCTTTCATAAATGTCTGATATAACATAACTGTCCCTCTAAAGTGTAAGTAGCCTATCTGATGATAGTTACTTTGAATGAAAGCCTGACATCTGACATTAGTTGAACTGAGGGACAGTAATGAATTTTCCAGTGCTATTTAACACTTCACTCTTCTGGTGGATCATTTAGGAAACAAGTTCCCTGCAACTCAGCTGGGCGAGGGACAAGCATTTTATTGCAGCATTTCAAAACTTCCAAATTTTCTGAACAGTTGGATGGAAATGGATCTATAGGCCGACAAGCATACACACTTACAAGCATTTATCGGCAGTATAGATGCCAGACCTCACACTCACTCATATTCATTCTACTCTCCAGGCCTCCTGTTATTTCTAACCCTGACAGAGAATCAACACTGGGGCTCAGGGGTCCATTTCCAACCTGCAACTACTTGCTTCAGCTTTCACTGCACTTTGACTAAAGTCACAAATCATTGCCAGTCCACCCAAGTTGGACTCAGACACTGAAGACAGTCATTTAGTCCATCCAGAGAGAGGGCTGAGTGGCGGGTTGGTGGTGGAGGTTTCATCTTTCTCTCTCTCTGCTCCTCTGCCCTCTCCTCTCGTCTTTTTCCTCCCCTTCTACTCCTCCTCGTCTATTTTCAGTCTTTCGTTTTGCCCGTGTCAGCTTTTCTGACTGGCGCCATTTTTTGAAAGGCCCATTTGGCTGATGGAGAGTTAGCAGTGTGAGGGAGTAGTTTGGATGAGTCCGCTGCAGGGTCAGAAAAGTTGAGGATTATGTTGAATGATGTTCAGGAACTTGGTCTGCAGCCCTATTGCAACTCTGTAGATACTGTATATTGACCTACTTTGAAAACAAATACAATTCTCTAGATAGAAAACCTGGAATAAACAGCTAGTTAGTACATGTACATAGATACAGTAGGTGAGGGGTGGGGGTTGTAACACTTCAAAAATTATGAAAGTGCAAATAAAAATATATCATGCGAAAGAAAACACAATGACCAGGGGACATTTCAGAAAGCTGGTTTAAAGCTGGGGTCTGCAATTTGGAGAGCTAGATGGATTTGGGTAGAGAATTTGAAAGAGTACAAAGCCCAGGTCCATCCCTCTGCCTCTCCATTGAGCTTCTGCCCTGCCTCCTGCAGAGAGGGTTCTCGTGCACACCGAGATTAGTAACCATGGCTGCAGAGCTACACACTGAAGAAACTGCAAACTTTACTCTACATACCTGGAGAAAAATATTTTCCAATGACTGTACCTTTGCTGTATTTCAGCAAATACCTCATCCTCATTTCATTACCTATGTATGTGTTTAGAAATACACAATCTAACTTTGTGAAAACAGCTATGTTACAGCATTTCTGAACATATGGTACCAGAGGCTTCATATAGACTTGTTTACTTAGTTAGCTAACAGCTAACTCAGATTCTTACACTTGCCCATTTTTCCAGCTTGCTCAACACAGTGACAGGTGCCACTGCAACAGATAGTGTTATTCATTTCACCTGCCAGTGGTCATAATGTTATGCCCGATCGGTGTATATATACACATATACACACTGTCAGAAAAGCTCTGAGATTGTTATAAACAATGGTTACATTTACAGTTAATTGCACTTAGGGTTGTCGTTCTGTACAGCCATGGATGAACTCTTCAGAGTGATGGCCTGGGGGAAGAAACTGTCCTTGTGTCTTGTTGTCTTGGTGCACAGTGTCCTGTAGCGCCATCCAGAGGGGAGGAGTTCAAACAGCACGCTGAAGTCTGTTCCTGTCCTGTCCTTCCAGACAGTGAAGGAAGTGCAGAGAACAGACTCTGATTCCACTGTATCAGCAGCTCCTGGGGCAGGTCGAACTTCCTGAGCTGGTGCATAAAGCACATCCTCTGCTGTGCCTTCTTGGTGATGGTGCTGATGTTGGACGTCCACTTCAGGTCCTGGGAGATAGTGGAGCCCAGGAACTTGAAGGTCTCTACTGCTGATACAGTGCTGCTGAGTATGGTGAGGGGTGGGGGGCTTTTCTTAAAGGCCACTACCACCTTCACTGTTTTCAGTGTGTTCAGCTTCAGGTTGTTGCGACCACACCACAGGGCCAGCTGTTCAACCTCCTGTCTGTAGGCCAACTCAGATAAGACCGATGACCATTGTGTTATCTACAACCTTCAGGAGTTTAACGCAGGGATCCTCGGTGTAGAGTGAAAACATCTGCGGGGAGTACTGTACTGATAGTCTGGGTGCTGGATGTAGTTTTTCCCAGCATCACCTGCTGCTTCCTGTCTGTCAAAAAGCTGGTGATCCACTGACATGTGGGGGCAGGCACAGTGAGCTGGGTCAGTTTAGAGCGAAGGATGTATGGGATGATGGTGCTGAACACCAAGCTGAAGTCCACAAAATCCCAAGCATAGGTCCCTGGGGGGTCAAGGTGTTGCAGGATGTAATGCAGTGCCATGTTGACTGCATCATCCACTGACCTGTTTGCCTAGTAGGCAAACTGCAGGGGTTCCAGCAAGGGGTCTGTGATGGCCTTCAGATGGGCCAACACCAGTCTCTCAAAGGCCTTAAAAGCTACAGATGTCAAAGTGACAGGTCTGCAGTCATTCATTTCACTGATGGAGGGTTTCTTGGGAACCATGGTCATGTTGGAGGGTTTGAAGCAGGAGGGGACTTCACACAACTCCAGTGATCTGTTGAAGATACAGTATGTGTTAAGCTGAGGGCCAGCTGATTGGCACGGGCTTTCAGACAGGAGGGGGGGTCACACTGTCTGGGTCTGGTGCCTTTTTGATCTTCTGACTCTGAAAAAGGCCCTGCACCTCCTTTTCACAAATCCTCAGGGATGGGGGCTGGGGCAAAGGGAGGTGATCATAGGGAGGGCAGCTGCTGGGTCTGAGGTGAGGTGGGTGAGGGGGGAGTTCTGCTTCTCAAACCTACACTTAAACACATTCAGGTCATCTGGTTTCCTGTAGCTAGTGATGTCCTGTAGGCTTCCCCACAGAGACGAGGGGTCGTTGGCTGAAACCTGGTTTTCAGAGTCGCTCTGCTTTGCTGCTCTGATCTCCCTTGTTAATGTGTTCCGGGCCTGGCTGTACAGGATCCTGTCCCCCACTCATCATTACTTTTAGATTCTGCATGTGCATGAGATGATTGACAGTGGGTTGCACCACATCCTGGCTCTGATTGGTAGTTCACATTTGGGCACGGTGGATTTTTTTCGGATATACAGGCACTAGGAAGAGCCAGAGGAACCTGATGTTTTCACAGAACATCTGTCTTATGTGTTACTGTCAAGATATGATGACAATTTCAGCAAATATGACAATAAGTCATCTTTATAAAAGTTACAGACCCCAGCTTTAACAAACTCTGAAGTTAACCCTGAGCTGTGAGGTGACCCACACTGACATGGACAACTCTGGGTTCTGAGTTCCAGAACAGCTGATGAGAGATAGTTCACTCAACTCTGAGTATGTTCAGTCTGGGTGCTGACTATAAAAAGCCACTATCAATGGAGCTCTAATACTATGATTCACCTGGCAACAAGTAAATAAATAGCAGAGCTGCCATTTTAATCCAGTGGAGCTAGAAATATTAGCGTGCGATAATGCACAGTCATCTTTAAAATACAGAGCAGCAGCAGTGAAAGTGCCTGAGATGGAGAACAGGGTCTAAACACTGTTACATTGTATTCGGTGTACCCCATTCAATCATTTATTCAGCTGTGAGCTGATGGGGGCAAAGTGCTGCTGGCAGCAGAATATGAAATCAAACACATAAGACACACATTTATTTCTAGATTAGATTAGATTTTAGTCTACAGTAACTTCATGTAATGATGGTTTTGTGATCTGCAGGTGGAAAAGCATTAAGGTTAAAAGGTCTGTACATTTTTAGACACCACTCAGACATTTTTAAATCTTACTCTGTTGCAGCTAATACACATTTAAATGTAGTGAATTTGAAAGTCACTGAAATGTTGTTAAAACAAGATTATATGCAAATTCAAAAACTACTTTTAAATTGCATTTAGTCCAGTTTTACAATGTTGACGTCTTTAAAGCTGCACTACAATCATCCTCCCTCAGAAACATTCACATAGTCTCTGATATGATCAGCAACCAGGACAGGAATGTTCCAACGCAACCAAGAACAGCATCAGTGTGTCATGTGACTTCAGCTTCACACTGATTTGTTAAGTGCATACAGTGATCACAGTAACGTAGCCTACAGTACAATATGTTTGGGTGCAGGGGAACTGACTGACAACCTGACAGGTGTCTTCATCTCCACAGAGTCACAGTGTTAGAAAAGCAGACAGTACCAATTTTATCCTGAGCTGACGGCGAATCCACGCTGTGCTATAGGCTACTGATGACCATTAAAGCAATCATATGAGTTAAGATAGGTCTTGGGTAAAAAACTATTAGGCTACTATCCAATTGAAACTTTATTTCATAGAGTAAGTTACTGCAGTAACTGATTCAGGTCTGACTTCAAGTGATCTGTTTCTGGAACTCAGTTTCTCCCAGTTGAGGGTGAACAAATGTTTTCCCATCCTTTCCAAAAACAAAAATACAAGAGCAAAAGTGAAAGGAATGAACTGAACAAATGAACTGTGCTAATCTGCTCTAAAGTACGCTTCACACATCAGCACGTCTGGCTTATTACCAAGCTATCTACAGTAGGAACAAAGCATTACATCCAAACAAAAGATAGTATCAGAGCTCATGTAACACTGATACTCCAGCAACCCCGACCAACGTTACCTGAGAGTGTTTCATTGGGCAAACGCTTCAGTTAGCCTTCCTCCTAGATGTCTTTTCTCTTTTAATATACAAATAAAACATGGGGATATGTACTAAGGTCATTTTCAGGTGCTGTTCGTGTGTTTGTATTTACTAAGGAGTCGCAGTGGGAGTTTTCACTGGAAAAACAGATTAAATGTGACAAAGCAGTGTCCGTGTGCATGTCCGGTCTCATGCAATATGCATTTTAAGGCTTTGCCATTCAGGGATGCAAAAATCAGGAAGGAGAGAATGGAGATGGTTTACTGTCCCACTTGGTCAGCTTGTGCACAGACACTCACATCCTTACCAGCTGAAGCACATTCAAATGAACACAGCTACGGCTATGTTCATTTACATCATCAGTGCTGGTAAATACGCTGCTAAATTTAAAAATTGTGGTGCCGCAATAGTTTTCCCTGCTGGATGGTAATTGGCGAAAGGTTTAGTACAGATCCCCCATAGTGTTTGAAAATATCAACAAGTAAGCTAAACACCCACACAGGGTTACATTTTTCCCTAATAAATTACAGTATACTAGCTAGCTCTAGTTCATGCAGTTACATTATTAATGTGTATTATCAGCTGGTGGGGAGAATATTTAAATAATGATCATAAGTGATTTAGAAACACAACTTACTAACATTTAAACCAAACATTTCTATTATACTAACAAATCTCTTGTTTCATCAAGTGAGTGAGCCTAGAAACATTACAACAGTTCTGTTAACATGAGTTCTTTAGGTGGGGAATGCAGGACAACCAAGTTTTACCCTTTTACTTCAAATCAACTGAAATCATTACTGATTTTAATTGTTCATGAATTTGACACTCCTTGTTATTATATTGCAGCCAATGTAGTTACATTAAAATTAGAAGAAAGAATGAGTCCTCTGGCACAGATATACTGTAGCACCTCGAAAATGTTCACTACTCTATCATTTTGGCATAATGTGCCTTTACTCCTTAACATGAATGGTGAGGTTATAAATGAATGCCTGCTGTGGGTTATTTACAAAGCTCCAGGTATTTAGCATAGCTGAACTGCTAAAGCATGGCTAAGGCTAGAGCCACACTAGTATGTTATATCAAAGTGTAGGTATAGAAAAAAAATCTATTCATGAGACAATACTAGAGTGAATAGTGTGGCGATGGCCCAGAATGAAAAAGCATATAATTCAAAAGTTTCAAATATTCAATTGATTTTGATGTGATTTAAATGATCCACAAAACCTCGTGCAATTTATAAATTGAATATACCATTCTTTCAGTTATGACTTTTTGGAACAAAGTAGTTCATAATAATTCTTACCCGAGTTGAAATTTGGTCAGGTGAGGAAATGGACGAAAATGATTGCTAGACCTACGTTCAGCAGCATCACAAGAGCGACCAAGATAGAGTTAGGGCCCTGTGGAAACACAAGAAAAGCTGATGTTGTATGTGTTCTGAATGAAGCCTGTTACATTAACATGCATACATATGAGTGAAGATCCTCCAAAAGAGGACAGAGGCATGATGGCACATCTCTCAAGCTTTCGACTAATTAATACTAGTATACTTTTGAATTTACATGAATGGATTACACACTATGTGGGAAACAATTCCACTACAGCAGATGTCTATCTGACAATGCTTTTACAAAATTTAAGGAAATAATTCCATCATTATTTACTTCAGTGCCATTTGGCAACACAATGGAGGGAGGCCACCTTAACTTTACTCCCACACAGGTTGATAATCTTGTTGATAGTGCTGCAGCCTCTCTGCATAAAACACTTGATTGTTGCCCCTCTGAAAAAGAAGGCAGTGAAACAGAGGAGGCCCCGTGGTACAGCTCGCAGCTCTGCTCCCTAAAGCAGGCATCATGAAAACTGGAAAGGAGGTGGCGCTCCACTAAGTCAGAAGAGTTTTTCCTATCCTGGAAAGATAGTTTAATAACATATAAAAAGTCCTTTGTAGTGCTGGAACCACATACTATTCATCACTGATTGAGGAAAATAAGAACAAGCCCAGGTTTCTTTTCAGCACTGTAGCCAGGCTGACAAAGAGCCACAGTGCTGTTGAGCTTAACATTCCCTTAGATCTCAGCAGCAATGACTTCATGAGCTTCTTTACAAATAAAATCACAACTATTAGAGAAAAAAATAATCAAATCATTCCCACAGCTCTCACAGACATGCCATCAAGTACAATGGCTTTAGAAACATCTGTAAGACCCCATTTATACTTAGACTGCTTCTCTCCCATTGATCTCTCTGAGTTGACCTCAACAATTGCTTATAAGCATGTATGGAACCGTAATCAAACTCACCGACTCCTCTACAATTTCAGGATCTATTTCCACACTAGATTTCTTGGTTTCTGCAAGGTTCTTTGTTTTGGTTGATTCCTGTTTTTTTGGCTTGGCAGGCTCCAGTGCTTTGGTGCTGTCTTTTGATGGAACTGGTGAAAGACTCGGGGCTGGCGGGGATTTTAGAGCTGGCGTCCAAATTTGTTTTGCTTGTGGCGACATCCGTGCATGGCTCGATGGGTGAAGGTCATCATCTATACCAGTTGGTGCATCAGGTGGTGAAATCTTGACATCTGCCTTGACATAGTAACCATGGTACTGGGGGTGAATCTGCCCATTGCTAGGGTAACTGCTGACTGTCGTGGTAACAGCTGGTTTGACTGCCAAAGGAGTCTCCTGTTGCCTCACTTCCTGTCTGAGAGAAGGTTTTGATGCTGCCTTTGTTATGCCTGCCAGGTAGAAGAAAGAAAAAGTGAAGAGAATCAGTTAACCAAATAGTCAACACATACTGTATACTGGCTGTGGCAGAAGGCAGAGTGAGTTGTCTACTATTTAGACCCTATTCAATCTCTTATCTGCATCTCGAACTGACACCGAACCCCAAATCACTCCTGATAGTGAAGCCAGCACATTGCAAGGTAATTTGCTGCCCTCAGTGTGTGTGAACAGCTGCAACTGCAAATCACTTTTGATAAAAGCGCTACACTATATTACACAGTCCATGGATTGTACATGAACCCCAAGTTTATTATGATGTGTTGCAACTAAAGATCACCAGCTGTTAACAAGGCCCTACTGTGGTCCTTTTAAACACTGTTTGTGTTTCATTTCATAATGCAAACTAGAGCAACAGGAATGAATAAACAGCTTATAATATCCACGCTTATAGAGAATAACAGATGGTGTGCAGACCATTAACTAATAATGATGTGACTATTCTGCCCTTTTATAATGAAGAAGCCTGGTTTCTTAAGCCCCTTTCAGACATTGTCCTGTGAATTTTCAGGTGACATGTAGCCATGTAGCAGTTGCTTTTTTGGCATTCAGACAAAGCGCTGCTGTGCGTGAAATACTCGGGAAGGCTTTGTTCAAACACAGCAGGACCTAGCTGGGTAAAGCCACAACATTCACGTGACATCCAACATCACAGGAGACACACACTGCTATTCCTCTGCCGTCTGCACTGAGGATAAGCAGTTCTTTGATTTCCACGCTAACCCATTCTGTATTAGCCGATGCTGCTAAACCGTATCTTCTCAGTAAACTTTGGACTAGTGAGTGATGTTACATTCTTTTTATCTTTATGCCTAAATTTCACTGCCTACCTGAAATATACACCAGAGAGAGAGAGGGAGAGAAAGAGAGGAGCAATGGTTAGGTGAGCTACAGAGTGAATGAAGAGAGCGAGCAGTGTTTGCTAGAACAAAGCAGTAAAACAGATAAACTGTTGTGCATTGTGCTATAGCCCTGTTGTCATCTTGACTGTGCCCTTACCAACAATTTGGCCACTTCAGTTCAGACATTTAGCTGGCTGTTTGACTAGGTCTGACCACGAAGAACTGCCAGTAACACCTTTCCGGCTACACAGCGCAGGCTTTGTTCAGACATGGCGCATAGATATGAAATACACTGTGTGCACAATTATTAGGCAAGTGAGTATTTTGACCATATCATCATTTTATCCATAATTTCCAACTCCAAGCAGTATAAACTTGAACGCTTATTGGACTTAATGCATATCAGGTGATGTGTTTTAGTGTAACGAGGGAGGGTGTGGCCTAAGGAGATCAACACCCTATATCATGGTGTGCATAATTATTAGGCAGAATGTTCTCCTCTGGAAAAATGGGCCAAAAAAGAGATTTAACTGACTCTGAAAAGTCAAAAATTGTAAAAAGTCTTTCACAGGGATGCAGCACTCTTGAAATATCTAAGATATTGGGGCGTGATCACAGAACCATCAAACATTTTATAGCAAATAGTCACCAGGGTCGCCAGAAACGTGTTGAGAAGAAAAGACGCAAATTAACCACCAGAGATTTGAGAAGAATCAAATATGAAGCTACCAGGAACCCATTATCCTCCAGTGCTGCCATATTCCACAACTGCAACCTACCTGGAGTGTCAAGAAGTACAAGGTGTTCAGTTCTCAGAGACATGGCCAAGGTAAGAAAGGCTGAAACCCGACCACCTCTGAACAAGACACATAAGTTGAAATGTCAAGAATGGGCCAAGAAATATCTGAACACAGATTTTTCAAAGGTTTTGTGGACTGATGAGATGAGAGCGACTCTTGACAGACCAGATGGATGAGCCCGTGGTTGGATCAGTAACGGACACAGAGCTCCACTTCGACTCAGACGCCAGCAAGGTGGAGGTGGGGTACTGGTATGGGCTGGTATTATTAAAGATGAGCTAGTTGGACCTTTTCGGGTTGAAAATGAACTCAAAATCAACTCTCAGACCTACTGCCAATTTTTAGAAGACACTTTCTTCAAGCAGTGGTACAGGAAAAAGTCTGCATCTTTCAAGAAGACTTTGATTTTTATGCAAGACAACGCTCCATCACATGCATCAAAGTACTCCACTGCGTGGCTGGCCAGTAAAGGCCTTAAAGATGAAAAACTAATGACATGGCCCCCTTCTTCACCTGACTTAAACCCTATTGAGAACCTTTGGGCCCTTCTTAAGCAGGAAATTTACAGTGAAGGTAAACAGTACACCTCTCTGAACAGTCTCTGGGAGGCTGTGGTTGCGGCTGCACAAAAAGTTGATTCTGACCAGATCAAAAAACTGACTGACTCTGTGAATGGAAGGCTTGTGTGACTGTTATC